CAGCCACTGCACTCTCTAGTTCCTGGTTCGATTCTCTTACTTCGTGTGATTTTGCAGTTTGCACCAAGACTAGATGCTGAATTCGTCTGTACGCCACACAAGCTTCATGGAGCAGTGTGTTTCTCGAGAATATGACAGTCGCTAAGCTGTTCAAAAGTTTCCCGCCCCCCGGAACCTGGAGATTCATTGCTGCATCTATAAGAAACGGCCACTGAACCGTGTTCTGATCAACCTGAATTCATTCCACACCCTCTCATCCTGTTTGTGTAGCATACATTTTAATCCTAAGGGCTGCCGTCGAGACAGGGCGCCACCCTCGTACTTTTTTTAATGTGCCCGTAAGCCATTCTGGCACTCCCATAGAATACGTTTGTGTCAAACGGGTAGCATGGTTTTACGCTAAGAAAGGTGGGATGTGTTCTTGTAGGCGGTTACCAACTTTTCGAAGGGGCGTACTGAATTAGGATTTTGTAACTGAGTTAAGATTCAACAAAGACAGAAATATCACAGCTGAGCGAGCCAGTAAGGTTTTTAGTTTGTCCGCCGTCTGTTCTCGAAAACCTTGTCTAAGTTTAGACAAGTGGGCGAAGCACGACCCTGACCAACCCTACGTCGTTTTCCCACACAATTGAGAGGGGGGGGGGGATCCTGACAGGAGCATTTTTGCTTTGTTTCGTTCCGACGTAGTTTCTATCTTCAGAGACTGCAGAGGATGAGCGTGGCAAGTAATCGTAGTTGAAGGTCTACTACTAGGCCCACGAAAGTACTGCTTCGAGTGGCGAAACTGGTACGTCTTGAGGCCCGCGGGAAGGATTGCGAAGCACCGCGTAAAATGAAGAGCAGTTTATGACCTCGGTTTCTCTATCAGTATTTACGCAGGAAATGTTTGCATGACATAAAATATAGATTTCGTCAAGGCCTGTAGCTTTTATTTGAAACTTTTAATGAAATAAACACAAAAATAATTTCTGACGTGCTGATATTTCGGGTTCTTACGGCTGCGAATATGAAGATGGCCGTCTTCTGGTTGCTGCGCCATGTACCGACGTTTTATAGGCGCTTGCTACCTCCTTCATGAAGGAAGAAATCACCTCTGAAACGTCGGAAAACTTCTACTAGATTAAGTGGCGCGGCAACCCAGAAGACATCCATCTTCAACTTCTAACTGGCGAATTATATCTTATAAGCTTGCCCTGCGAGGTGTATTGCGTGCGTCTTGCATCCAGACATGCAGACAAGAGACTTGGAACGAGAGTACTCCGTAAAGGATGAAATTCCTTTCATCTTCTGCGAGCTATGACCGAATGCTCGCTCACATGCAAACCCTCCCGTGTGTGACCTTGAAACTCTATGTTCGTGCCTTACTGCGTCTGGGACTTAGTGGGTCAAGTCAGAGGCGCAGATCCTGAGCGTCCTGTGCTCCACTTGAATGGACATTTTCAGTTCATCCGTTTATGTAGGCCTACAATTTACACGAAATACATAATTAGGAGGTTCTGTCTGTCCGTCCGTATGTGTGATCTACGAAAATAAATAATGGATTTGGATGGAAATTGGTACTGGTCTGATTTATACCAAACGTTGTGTAAGGGAGCGATATAATCCGAGAAGTTGGCATGGACAGACTGAGGGAAGCAACAGATTGTCAGTCAGGAAATCCGGTATCCCGGTGGAAATAAGTACGTTGTGGAGAACTATTATAGTCTGGAATGCAGGCAGCAAACATGCGTGCTATGAGCACGATTTCGTATCCTTCTGCTTCTGTCTACTCCTCGTTTCGTCCACTTTTTCACCTCCATATCTCGGTGTGGTATGGAATTACGTAACTCGGATATCCACTCAACACGTAAACAAGGGAATTATCAGTCGAGCAATCTTGGTCAGGAACCACTTCCGACTTCCTCCAAGAAACGAGTAGGCCTCCTGCAGTTTTATGTTAAATATTAAGGTATTCCCTGGATCTAGATGTTGATTTCTTTGTCGATAATGGTGTTCTGGGTAGTGACCATGTGGACTTATAGGTAGATATAAACGTTTCGAAGGAACATCCTGCCTCCAAGGCGCATGTTCTTCTGAAACGTTTGCATCTACCTACAAGTCCACACGGCGTCAAGACCCAGAGGACCATTATCCACATCTTCACCTCATGCCTCTTGTATACTGCTTTGTTTCGTTACTCTTTTTTACTTGGTCAGATTCAAGAACTTCTGGAATGTGCCACTCGGCTACCCTGACTGAGGTTCTCCGTGCCTTTCCTCAGTTGTAAGGCCTAATTGAAAAGGGGCATGGAGGCCTTCAACCGATGTGATTTCCCCCAAGTTGCAGAGGACATCAGCCAAAGCGATTCCCGCTACTTCTGGGTTGAAATCAACCAAAATCCTTTTCACAAAGGACAAGTTGCCTGACGGGATAAACCTCCCACCAGTAGCAACAGCTCCTAGTTTGAATACGCAAGGCTTTCCACTACGACAAAATCCTCTCTCGCGTAAGCACACCCGTTTTGGTTTTAAGGCACTGTTTACCATTTCTAGCAGTGCGGGTTTTTTTAAATTTATTTTCCATTTTACGCAGGAATGGCGTAACCTAGCAAGGGACGATGGCTTGCGCTTGCCCAGGACTCCGCTCTTTGTTAGCTTTTTGGTTGATGGTTGGTGTCATTTCTGAAGTCGTCCTTGAGATTTCATTACTTTATTCAGCTTACTTGAACTACTTTGTAATTATATACACTGAATCGTAAAAGACTGTTGTTATCTGTTTAAAGCTTGTTTTGACGTTCTTTGCTTCAAGTATCTTGAAGGTCCATGACACGCAGCTTCCATCAACGCCTCTTTTTTTCTTATTCTCTTTCTTAGCAAACTAATTTCTCACACGAAGCGGCTCAGACCGGTTTGGTTTTCATGAGATATGTCAATATGCTGCACATCCACGTGATTTCAGACCTTCGTCGTTTGTGCGGGATAGTATGAAGAATGCTTTAGAAGGGATGTTTGACCTCGTTAGTATTAGTCCGACATTCGACCGAGACTTTCATAAATACGAATTACAGCGGTAATTCCTGGAAAGAGTTTAGTCAATTTGTGTTTAAATGTTGTATACTAAGGGTAATAGAAGAAAATTGACAGTGGAACCACGGTTCCGGAGAATCTGACGTAAATACGTCTTTGTATTTAAATTATATTTAGGCAATAAATACAATGAAAGGAAGTTTATATATTGGCTTTATACATGCTTTATAATTGAGATAAGTTTGATTAAGACTTTGCTTATTTAACTTGAATTAGTTACGCTTAAGATGGCTCTGTGGTAGCTGAATGTAATGTAATGTAATGTAATGTAAAGTAATGTAAGGTAACAATAATGCCGAGTAAACACGACGTTTCCTAGGTAACCAGGTTACACTTTTTCGTTTCCCTTTTTTGCCGAATGACCCTTCAATATAGACGTATTTACGTCAAAAATATTTATGTATTAGTTATGTTAACTCCTCGCCCAACCACCAATCTAGAAGACAACGTCTCATCAACTGTAAGCGACTGTTTATTCAATTCGCCTGCAGGCATCATCCATATCTAGAAGCATTCTCCGTTCGCAACTTGAAGACGTGCCGTGGAGACTTCCACTCTACGTAATCCTGACAGGTTTTTGTCGTAATCCTCAGTCCCCTTCAGGCAAATGCAGGAATAGTACCCTAAATTAGGCCACGATGGCTTTCTTCCATGTCCTTCCCAATTCGTCCTATCATCCGATTATACATAATCTGAACTACTGACACAGTCGTTAAATAAACCGGATTTATAAAGGCGTGTCATAAAATTTCGCGTATTTGTTCACCAGGCATTCGCATGAGTGTCATACCATAAATAGGTTTACTAAGCCAAATGCCTCTAGATAAGGGCAGTAATAAAGAATTAAAGGAAATTCCGAAACCACAATTGCCTTCAGAGTGAATAAATGTTAGCAGAAATTGATAGTCCTGTGGATTTGTAAACGCGTCTCAGACGTAACCCGGAGGTCGCATATAGGCGTGTTTTCTGTTCAGAAGTGTAAGTTTTTGAGCAAGTGGAGAGAAATATGGTCATTTGATCATTTACAACTAATTGCGTTGAGCAGAGTCCTGTTTGAGAAGCTAATGGTTGCTCATATGGTCAATATATAGGCTGCCCTTGTTTCCTTTTATGGAACCCGAATATTTATTACCGTGTTCACAGGAGACCGCCTCTAAACTTCGTTCTGAGCCAGATTAATCCAATAGATAGTTTTGCTTTTCCCAATACTGTTGAAAAATGTTCCGCCATGACTGTCTGTCTGTCTATCCGTCCTTATGCAATAACTCGAGAACCAATGAACGAATATTCGTGAAATTTTATATTGAGGAGTTTTACTAAAATTTGTTGTTCAAATTTCAGTTTTGGTTAAAACTGGACAAAAAATTGACAGTGGAACCACAGTTCCGGAGAATCTGACGTAAATACGCTAACGTAGCAGTAGCGTGAAGTGCGATGCGCCTTTATTTGTATAAATAAATGTTTATAGAACCTAAACCATTTGTGATATATAAAATCTGAAAACAGATATGGAAAGCTCCAGAGGTAATAAGTATTTCGTACGATATGTCCAGATCCATCTCTTACGGTTTTCGAGAGGCGGGCGCTTAACGCGCCAGATGCATTTAAAATTGTTCATTAAAATTACAATAAATATATAAACAATTATAATTACAATAAAATACATTACAGATTCTTAAAGGTCCTTATTCACTGATCATTTTACATATAGGTTACATTACCCATACTCTTACCATTCCTGAGGAATGAACATTTAAAGGTGACTCGGCGCTGAATCTTACACATCTTCGTAACTAACGCTGTTTTAGCCGAATGATCCTTCCTTATAGACGTATTTACGTCAAAAGAAGACAAGCCTAATTCTCTTACACGAGTTCACAAATGCAGATGAAAACATATAAATTTGATGAATAATAATAAATAGGAATCCCTTACCTTGACCTTCGCTCAATTGTAAGAGACCACGATGTCCACAGACAATGATGAATTAAATCAAAAATGTAGAGAGTTGAGGGCAGTATCACAGATTTCTTAATAATTCTTATATAAGATAAGTACCTGTGATATTGTAAAACGTTTTTAACAGCACAATATTATCTACTCTACGACGCACTTCTTCTACAAGCGATTCACAGCTCAGCTTTATCCACAATAACGAAATGTAACAAAACAACGCCGAGTAAACAAATGACATAACAACTAGTTTCTTAGGTAACGGAGTGTATTGCAATACGGTTCATTCGGGCTATTATACTGCATGCATAATAAATGAGAAAAGAGCCTTACGGCATGCTCAGCCAATATTGTTGCAGGCGTGTGTTAGAAATTCGAATCCTTTTTCTTACATTGTTATGCACGCTGTTTCGCCGAATGACCCTTCCGTATAGACGTATTTACATCAAAAATAACGGACACTCTGAGTTAAGACTTGCATTAATCTGAGCGTGTCTTGAGCGTTAAGTCGCTGAATATTTATCGGGGCGAAAAAGGTTTACGAATAGAAGTTATAGAGAAAAATGAAACACATTCTATGTTGATTACACTTTTCCGTAAGACTTAACTGTTTTCGACATAATTAACACACCTATTCGAAGACACTAGTACTTCTGGACATATCGGGACACTCACTCCTACATCTTTGGCCGATATGTACATCTAATAACATTTAAGAAAAACAACACCTTCGCCCAAAAATGGAAAAACAAACGTAATGAAACATCACCAAAAAACTACAGAAATCATAATTGAGTTTTAAGTTCTTAGATATATTTTACACCTGATGATGGTTTTATAAAAACTGAAACATGTTGTGTAAATGTTCCGAAATGTAAATCGATCAATCGATATGGAACATGAATGATATTTTATTATCTTAATTATAAGAAATTTTAAATATTGTGATCAGACGGATTAAAATAAATAATTGTTATAATATTCACAATATGACGCAATTACACTATCTTATAATTAAACAACTTGGATTTTTATGCTGTCATCTCGTAACTCGAGAACCGTTGGACTAATTTTAATAAAATGTAAAACTGGAATTTGTTATCAATTCGTCCCTCGTGTTTTACATTTCTTTTAACAAAACATCGAATGTTAACATTCGGGAATTCAAACTACATTCCTAATTCGTCGGTATATTAAACTGATATGAACAGGAAATATAGCTTGTTCTCTATGAGAATAAATTCTTCATGAAAACATCTGTATACACGGTCAGAGGGCTCGCAGTTTGTAAAGGAGTGCTTGGAGAATAAAAGAGTCCCGTTTAACACCTCTGTCGTTGAAAGATACAACTCTTGAAAGATGCTGCTACGGTTAACGGTAAAGTTTTATAGTATGAAGTGTATGGATTAGTGTATACATTCGGCGGTGTGTATATATCATAACAACACTCTGTTGCATGTTGTCATTGCCTGAGGCAAACTTGATATACACGACGTTTCGGGAGTTTACTCTGCTCCCGTCATCTTGTGACTGGCTGGCATGTTACTGTCATTTTAATATTGCTGACAACGGTCATGATGGAACCCCAGACCTAATGATTGGTATTATAGCCTAGCATTTGGAAGGTCCCGAGTTCGGCCCCGACCGTTGTTACCAATAATATAAAAAAAGTGCCAGTATCATGACAACCAATTTCCTGAAGACGGGAGTAGAGCCAATTTCCGTAACGTCACGTATATTAAAATACACCTCAGACAATGGATAATGACCAGCGTACTGTTCTTATTAGAATGATTCTACCATTATCACAAACCAAGAATATGCTATCCCCCCCTCCACCCCTCAAGGGTAGGAGTGAAAACTTAAAAGTTTGACACAGAATATGTTTGACTTTACACAATCAAAACAATTGTTTCTTACCAAATAGAAAATGTAAAGTTTCAAAACGTATTCTTTTCACACACACCCCCCCCCCCCAAAAAAAAAATGCAACAGCCAACTGTCTTATTATATGAATATAATAGGGATTTCCAGCATTTCGGACTAACTCCACAGACAAGTGGTCTACACGTCACGCTTTGAAATCTCCGATTTAATAATACGTGTTCATCGGCATGTAAGAAACTGTCACATCAGCAGCTCTGATAAGCAACGAGGAAGTGCAGTTGGCTCTGTGGTATGACTGAAGCGAATCCCAACGTTGATGCTCTGTTCTGTTTATGTGCAGAACGCTCCACATCTCAGGTCACAGGTTTTGATGTATTTTACAGCTTGTCAGCAGAGGCAAGTGTTTCTCCAGCACGCGTGTAATGACGTAGCTAGTATAACTCAGAATGTCCTGTTGATTGGTGCATAACACACAGGGACAACTTTGTCTTTCATTCTTACTTGTTTTCTCTTAGTGTCTTCTTAACTCTTTGAAGCCGATGCTCATCTAAATAATGTTTGAAAAGACAACGCATCTCCATTTCAAATTGACGCTGTTTAGGAGAATCACATAAACACACTACGGGAAATTGCTAACGCTGGTGGTACATACAATTACCACTAGGCTGTAAAGGGCGAGGGAACGGAAGGATTTGTGGTAACCGGCGAGAATTTTAGAATATTCGTAAGGAATTTTAAATGTTTAATCTGTTAATTGCTCGATAATTTGTCACACACTTGCGATGTTTCATATTGGTCCAGTTGGTATGGCAGATGCAGGAACACAGTCCTCATATAAGTATTTATATTCGCATTTTATCAGTAGATTCATACGATGCCTGCTATAAATTATGAGCTCCTCGTAGTTGACTGTCCCCCGAGAAAGATTGGTGATCCCTTTCTTAAACCACTGTTTTTTTCAAATATGTTGGCAATATCACTATAGTCATTACGGATGTACTGAGTGAGGATACCAAAGTTAGCTTACCAAGCCTTTGTTTAGTGTTACGTATCTCGGAATGTGCAGAGGGAGTGACAAACGAAACATAATCGCTAATCTGCAAATAAAAGGAAATGTGTCACAAAGTGTGGATATTTCTCCTGTATAAGTTCTTAGTAATTATCTGAAGTCCCATACAGCGCACAGCACGAGGAAAAGATGGGAGACATGACGCGAAGGCTTAGACGGGAGGTTGATTCCGTTTGTTGGTTGGTATGGTTCATCTCCGAAATTAAACAAAAGGGCGTGGATCAAATTTTGTTTTTTGGGGTTTTACACTGAACGTTGACAGAATTTAATCTGGGTTTTTGCGCTGTGTATTCTGGTAGAAGTTTATCGACGTTTCAGAGGTGCTTACTGCTTCTATCATCAGGCCGCAACGCCAGCAAAACTTTTACAAGACGACACTGTAAAACAAACCAGAAGACAGGAATCTTTATTAATTCAGTCCGTACCTCAAAGAAAACTACGCGTCTCCGTTGCAAAGAATAGTTCGTTAATGCTGTTTAACATAATAATCGCTGTGCATTCTGAGAACCATACGAAACCCATAAATATGAAATGTTTCTACCAGGGGTGGAATGAGCCGTTACTAGGAAGAAAATTTACCTACCACAGCGAAAACTGAGAAGTTTGATTGCTGTTGGTTTATGAAAAGGCCTGCTGGCGAAGCCTACGTCACTTTTGTCCTTCCAGTTCTGCATATGCATGATAATTTAGAAAACGGTAGTTGTGTTCGAAGGTCGAGTAAAGTTGTGACTGGCGTTACAAACGCGCTAATTCTCACAGTTGTCCTAGTTGCAGCGAGCTTTTTCAATTATACAGAGCATAGTTTTTTGTAGGCTATGTGTTATAAGACATTATAAGATAGTTTCTCTGTGGTGAAATGCGGTTTGTGGTCTTCTGGTGTGCGGCGAATAAGAACATTCTGGGGACCGTATTGAATCCATATTTAAAATAGAAGATCTGAAGACTTAGACGAAACATCAGTCTGAAACGTTGATAAGCACCTGCAAGTAGAGGCTACATGGCGACACAACCCAGTAGATCACAGTCCAAATGTTTGTCAAGAAGATTTATTTTATTTAGTGTTCTGTCTGACGACAGGTCCATATGAACAGGATCCTTCCATCCTTTTCTCGGACTGGGACCTGTTCATATACGTTCTTGGCAGATGATCCAGAAGGGGTTTGCCATTGCCTTCTTCTG